TCATCTGTTATTACAAATTGCTGCTGCTTTGACCTTGGCTGTGCTATGCTAAGATAATGTAGTTATTCACAGGCATTTCTCCCCCCTCATCTGGCCCGCAATGCCTGCTTTTGCTCTTGAGGCAATATGTAGACTAAATAGATATGTTTGCTTCTTCACTTATGTCAAGCAATAACATCCAATGTTAGCAGACTTGACAAGGAGAACATCTTGGATCCAACCCAACAGCAGGTTTTCATGGGGTCGATCCTCTGGTATCTATAGTAACACTAAACACATCGCAAGATTATTACCAAAAGCTTGGATAATAAACATGCCAAATACCCCATACTAAATTTATAGAAAGCAAATGCAAATGTAACCCAGATTCTGAATACTGCTGGGAAGTCAACTAATCTGAAATATGAAAAAGTTACCTGTCAATACTGCTAACATTGAAGAGCTTCTTCTTTCGGAACCATGACATTACCTTGTTGTATGGCATCTCTCGCCTTTTGAAACTAACAATTTTGTGTTATCAGTTGCCAGGCAACTCGGGATCAGTAACACGGATTAAAATTATCCAGTGTAAGGAACTTGTTAATAAAAGTAATAAAGGAAAAGAAACAAACATACAAATCATATTGTACAGCAGGCTCATCTCTCCTCCTGGCTCTGCTCTTGGGAAAAGAACAAGCTCTTTAGGGATTATCCTCAATGGCCATTTGGCAGGTGGGCTGTTGCCACGGTCTGCTTCCTCGACTGAGAGGGAATGAGGAGCCCAAAGTCACCCAGCTGGCTCTGTGCCTGAGGTAGGATTAGAACTCAAGTTTCCTGGTTTCTATCCTGACAATTACTGGCTCTCTGGTTCCTATAAAGTGGTGTTATTTGATTGACAGGACCAGAAGCATGCCCATCTGTCAGAACATACAGGATGGGAAGAGACCAACCATCAACGATGGTTATCCCATGCCATGAAGGGCTGTAGAGGTTAATGCCAGCACCTTGGCTTGCACTTAAGATCCAGTGTAACTCATGCACTAGCAGTGCTGGGTATGCGTACCAAAGTGCACCCATAACCATTTGTGCTGCCACATTCTGAGCCAGTGTAGCTTCTGAATGCTCTTTATAGGCAGATTCATGTACAGTGGATTGCAATAGTCCGAATATGGGTAGGAGTGACAGTGAACAGGGCCTTTCATTCCCCAAACAGGCACAACTGGCGCACATACCAATGTTCCCCACTCCCAGCACCCAGGAGGGATTCATTATTCCCTTCATGACATTCATAGGCCTGGACAATGCCAGGATCTAGAGAATCTGGTTCCTTTAGGACCCTCTGTGATGATCTAGCACTGTTGGTCCAGTGATGCCTTTCTGAGGGAGAGATGGACCACGACTTCTTTAAGGTCCCTCACTCAAGAATGAAATCATCACTGCTTGGGTCCCACCATTCATTATCTCCAAGGAGGCCTTGACCAAGCATAGGAGAGATGGCTCTAATTAACTGATAGGCACACAATTCTGAGGACCCTGTTCACCTCCTCGAGACTCACAGGTTCACGCTCTTCTCAGGTAACTCAACCAGTTTGTGCCTCAGTCACTTCAAGACAACATGCATAATTGAGGCCAAGCTTAGACAGGATCCAAGTGATTATTCCTCAAGGACTTTGAATAATCCTCCCAGCAGCTCTGCAGATGTCCCTCTCACCCTTTTCTTCCTAGTACAGAGCTGCTGGCCATCACTCAACAGATGGAAGAAGAGTGGAAAAATAATTACATTTTGTTTCTTTTATTACTACAATGCAGTCCTTAATGTAGGCTCTTATACATGTTAGGTCAGATTCCCTCATCTCTCCAGTGGTGCTCCAGATGTCTCTTCTGTTTTTTCATTTCCTAAAGCTCTTTTGAAAACCAGAGAACTCTATGAGATCCCTGAATAGGGAGAGGCCCCGAGGTGTCACCTTCTCATTCTACGTAGAGACTAAGGCCTCAGTTTGAATTCTGCAGTGGAGCCTCGGGGAACTCTCTCTGAAACCCAGCTATCTGGGGAAAGCCAACTGAATAGGACCACCTCCCTGAGGTGCAAAGCCACACCAAAGGGATATGGAGCAGTCAGAGAATGGTCTGACCATGACAAGGGGTCAATATTAACTTTACTTATTTCATCTACTTCTATCACTGCTCAGTTCAACAAGGGAAGCACATTCATTCTCCATATTCAGACACCACCTCAAGATAAATCCCAGATCAAAAGTGACCCCACAGTGCAGATCAGGCCTCCAATGACATGAATCGCATCCAGGGTGGTCATGAATGCCTGAGCTGCCAAGGGATGGAAAATCCTTCCGCACCGCGAGACTGGGAAACTCTGCCATAAACAGAGGAAGGGAAGCCGCTGTGCCACGGAGAGGCTGCTTTAGTAGCTGCAATCTCATCTGCTCCCTGGAAATCAACCTCACAAACAGATCCGGCAAGTTGTGGGGTCTCTGACAGCCATAAGTGACTCTGGGCAATGCTGCCTGGAGTTGCAGCTGATGCCACACCTGAAACCCAGGTAGATGCATCTTCCAAGAGGGGAATCTCCATCCGAGTTCATTTAGGCATGTCAAGTTGACTCATCTGTGATAAGATCCTGGATGAGGGAGGCCTTATTACAAAATGACCTGGTATTTAGAAGCAGCAACTGGAGTTGAGGATCTTTTGGCCTGGCACCAGGGCTGAACCCAGGGAGCCGGAAAAGGCCCTACAAGCATCTTCCCCAAGAATGGTCTCACAGTATTGCCTTCTGCCAATTAACCTGAGATGTGACTCCCTATCCCATCCCTCCACGAGCCAATCTCCCTCTTCCTCAGATCTAGGAGCCCTTCCAACTTCACGACATTCTTCTGCCAATTCTTACAGAGCCTCTACGCTGCTTCTGTTTTAGCTTTCAACCCCCTCTGATCCACTACAGGCCTCATTCTTCAGGCTGGACTATTATAATGCCTTTTACCTGCAGCTTCCTCTGGATACAGCTTGGGCTTTTTCACCAGTGTGCCTCTCTAGAGAAGGGCCAGGATCTCCAGACATAACAGCATTTTTACCAGCTGCCAACCCATGTTCATGCTCAACTGAAAGCACTCTTGCATGCCAAAAGCATGGGGTTCTCTAATTCTGCCCACAGGCTGAGATCCACTGTGGAGACCCTGCTTGTTCACCCTCCTGAAGGGCAGGAAAGGGCGGCCTTTGTGGAGTTGGGACAACACTTTTTTTTAACCACGTAGGAAGGCAACAAGATCCAAGTGGGCTGGTAATCCAAAATGGGAGGGGTTGGAAGCGCTATTATATGGGCTACAAACAGAGGTGGGGTACCCTCCTGAGGATCATATAACTGAATTTCAATAGGATCCGAGTGGATTTGGGGATCTCTTTTGCTACTTTATAATGTAAAGGAATTTCTAAGTTCCAAAACTTTTAAAGCAATTCTTATTGCACCAGTAGCTCATATGTTAGACAGTCTGTCTGTGGCTCATAGTGTCATTCTTGCGAAATGTGCCATGTTGCAGAGCACAGGCTACAAAACTATCTGATATCTCTTAATAAGTGAAGAAGCTGCCCTTCTTCCCCAACCCATCTCACATCTTTTAGAGCTGCCAAAGCTCACCTGAAGCTGACAGGATGCAGCTAGAATTTCTTGCACATTGTTTAGGCCAAGTTCCAGGTCCGAAGTATATATGAAGTTCAGGATTTTGCACATGGCATTATAAGATATGCCCTGAATATGAATTTCTTCCTGTTCCATTTCTCTGAGTCCCCCAGCAAACATTCCCCTACAAAAGGAAAGATCTTCTTTCAGTTACTCCTCCTAATGAAAAGTATAATGGACAACATCCCATAAGGCAGTTTTTAAACTCATCCTTGTGCTGCCCTGTTTCCTCCAGAGATGGCAAGGTGAGATGTGCTGACAGTAGGAACCAACTTTTATGGTCCACTCAGGCATGCATGAGATGACTCGCCAAGCTGGGATCTACAACATCACCATCTCTGCACACAACCAGCATGCCACATCTGGGATTTCTCTCTGAACCACCATAGCAATAGCACTTAGACTTATATACCCCCTTTACAGTGCTTTACAGCCCTCTCTAAGCAGTATACAGAGTCAGCCTCTTGCACCCAACAATCTGGGTCCTCATTTTATCGACCTCGGAAGGATGGAAGGCTGAGTCAACCTTGAGCCACTGAGAATCTAACTGCAGGCAGCCGGCAGGCAGCAGAAGTACTGCATTCTGACCACTGTGCCACCAAGGCTCATCTTTGCTAAGTGATAGCAGAGAGCCTGAGTGAGATCAGGATGACCTGGCAGAGACACAGCACAAAGGATTGGAATCTGTGGCCATAGTAAGTGACAAAGAGAACCTAACCAGGAACTCAGTTCAGATTTGTAAAAAGCCAGATTGCACAATGCTCTGGTTAGAGGAAACAAAAGCTTGTCTCTATTTTGTGCAGGTGAGGTTCTCAAGAATCTGGAATCCCACCCCCCTCGCATTTTAAGGGTGGCAGAATGTGGCACATAAGAAAAGAACTTCCAGGGGAGTTGTGATGGGGAGAGAAGACCTGGAGACCAAGTCATGGGAGGAAGGGAGCGTATTTAGTCTACAGATTAAAAGGTAAAGATAAAGGTTTCCCCTATCCAGTCATATCTGACTCTAGGGGTGGTGCTCACCTCCATTTCTTGGCCAAGAGAGCCAGCATTTCCATGGTCATGTGACCACCATGACTATACGCTGCGGTGCATGGGATGCTGTTACTTTCCCACTGAAGTGGCACCTATTTATCTACTTGCATTTGCATGCTTTTGAACTGCTAGATGGGCAGGAACTGGGGCAAGTAACAGGAGCTCACCGCATAGTGCGGCACTCAGGTCTCGAACCCAGCTGTCAGCTTTCCAACTGACAAGCTCAGCATCTTTAACCACTGAGCCACCACACCCCCAAGCTACCCATTAAAGGGAGGCACAATTACAGTCCTCACAGCTGGAGATGGAAGACAGCAAATACTGTTTCCTCCAGGGAATTATGCTACAACTAACTTCAGGAAAGCGCACTGCAATTTTAGATGCCCATTATCAGAGCTGTTTATATAAGAGAAAACACTGATTTAGTTACTTGAGGATCTTTCTAGGTAAAGCTGTCTAATTATGGGCTGAGCAGCCATGTCAGCATCCTGCACTGAAAAGAAAATGGGCTTCTTAATGCTCCCTTTGGCTGATTCTATTGCAGAATTTTGTAAAGAAAGATACAAACATAATCTTGCCAAAGCAATGGGCCAAGCAATATCCATGTTTTGCAAATACTCTTTAAACAGGCAGAACTTGCTGTGTGGATTACAAGTAAGAAGTGGGAAGACAAATGCTAAATTTGGCTTGATTAAATTTGATTAAATCTAATGATTAAATTAGATGCAGCTTTGCTTAATCATCAAGCATACAAAAGTCAGAGTTTGCCAGTTCAAAGACGGGTTTTACTTTTCCACTGCTCAGTATCCAGCAATTTCAGATTTTAGTTTTGTTACAGGCACAGACCTGAAGTAATCACACGATGCTGCTAGGAGGATGCGATGAGCATCAATGGTCTTCCCCTCTACATGCAGAACAACATCAAAGAGGATGCCGCGGTCCCGGAGAGCCCCCAGGCCACTCAGCAGCGTCTGGGAGTGCCCAGTGCTATGGTAGGTCTTGCTGGAGCTCTTCTTGGTGAATGGCTCCAGAGGGATCTTGAGGGGCTCCGTTTCCTCCTGCTGACCCGCCATCTTGGGCAGAATCTCCTTGGGAATCAGAGGGCAGAGCAACTGGTGTTCCCTGAGGAGCAACTGGTTTCAGTTAGGCTGAGTTCCTCATTCAAAACCTTCGTTGTCCATTGCCATGAACACAAATTGCAGGTTCTTATCTACAAGAAAGAGGAGATGAATAGAATCCAATCATTTTGGCACAAAAAGGCAACCCAAGGCAATCCCCTAACTGACACATCAATGGGCTTTGTGGCTCTGAAATGCATGGAAGGCTGGTGGCCCATCACACAGAAGACGCTTTGCCTATCACTTGTATGGTCTTTATGGTTCCCATAGAACTGAGCCTCCCTGGGTTCAGGTTAAAGGCTAATCTCAGAGCCCAGTTAGATTCGGGATGCACCAGATGCCTAGTAAATCCAGCACTGGTCGAGAAGCTGGGAATTTGACTGAGGCGGTTAAAAGTCCCAGTGGCCTTTTGTCAATTGGACCATTTGGTTGTGCGGGACATCCCAGCCACTTTTGCCACTGAACCCATAGGAATGCAAATGGGAGCACATTCAGAAATTATGAGCTTCATAGTAGCACCCGGGATGGAGAGACCCCTGGTTCTAGGGCTAGCTTGGTTAAAAAAGTGGAACCCTTATGTGAAAAGAATTGCTAAAAGTTCCAGATAAACCATGCCTCCCAAACCCAAAAGGAACCTAGTAAAGCGAATATCCCGAAGTGTGAATTAGGGGCAGTCATGCAAGGGAAGGACCTTCCTGTCATCCCCAAAGACTATCGAGACTTCCAAGAGGTGTTTAGCGAGAAGGGCTCAGATGAACTTCCCCTTCATAGACCTACTGACTGTGCTATAGAAATCCTGCCCAGTGCCAAATTGCCAAATTGCCAAAGCCAAACTCAATGACCCCTAGAGAGCACCAGAAAGATGGGACCCTTTGTCTATGCATAGACTATAGAGGGTTAAATGGGGCGTGTGGGGAGAACATTTATCCCCCTTCTCTGAGGAAAGATATGCTGGCCCATCTTGCCAAAGGAAAAATATTTACTAAACTGGATTTGCAGGAGGCATATTACCGCGTGAGAATCAAGGAGGGGGATGAATGGAAAACTGCTTTCAATTGCCCGCTGGGTTGTTTCCAATTCAAAGTACTCCCATTTGGACTGCAGGGAGTCCCAGCTGTATTTATGCAATTGATCAATGAGGTCCTGCATCTGTACAAAGGAGCGCTTGTGTATTTGGACGACATTTTAATCTACACTAAAACTAAAGCGGAGCATCTAAAGCTTGTGAAGGCGGTTCTCTAAAAACTATGAGCTGTCAAGCTATATGCCAAACTTTTCAAATGCGAGTTCCACCAAAGTAAAATAGACTACCTTGGCTACTGCATCTCACATGAAGGAACTGAGATGGACCCTGAAAAAGTCAGAGCTGTGTTGGATTGAGCGCCACTCCACATTAGGAAGCAATTTTTTACCAGCAATTTATCCCTTCGTTCGCCCAGATGGCTCTCCCCATCACGAACTTACTTAAGACAAAAGGGGAGACAAACCCAAACCTAGTCAGCCGCATGGAATGCCAAGCCGCATTTGAGAAGCTCAAGCGCTTGTTTGCAGCCAACCTGACCCAATGAAGCCATTTGTTATACAAGCCAATGTGAGCGACGTAGCTGTTGGAGCAGCCCTGCTGCAGGAAAATGAAAATGGGCAGCTGCAGCCCTGTGCTTACACCTCCCAAAAACTTTCTGAGACTCAGCAACAATGGGTGGTGTGGGCAGAAGAAGCATACACCGTGAGATGGGCGCTCCTGTCCTGGAGGCATTTTCTAGAAGGGAGTAAAATACCTTTTGAGATGTGGACTGATCATAAAAACCTAGAGGCACTGAAAACCCCTCGCAAGCTCTCTCCTAAAGGTACAGTACTTTAACCACTTTGATATCTCCCTATACTACTTCCCTGGGGGAAAGAATTTCCTGGCCGACACAGTCACATATGCCGCAGTACAATTGCTCAAAAGTGGAAGTAGTCAAACCAGTGCTTCCATCCCATCAACTAGCTGCTCAGGTGACCACTCGAGCCCAGGGAAGAGAAAAAAATTCAAATTTCAAAAGACGTGACCTCGGTCCTAAAAGCAGCCCTAAAGAATGATAAATGGTTCCAGACTCATAGCAACGTTTGCTCACTCTGAGACGGACTAGTCTGGGTGGGGGAGAAGCTCTATGTTTCAAACAGCCGGAAACTCATGGTCTTGAGGAGTTGTCATGACTCAAAGACAGCAGGACATTTTGGTTTTGTGAAAATATTACACCTTGTCAAAAGACAGTTTTGGTGACTGTCCCTCAAAAAAGACATTGAAAGCTATGTTGCTAGCTGTCCAGTATATGCCTCGGCAAAACGGCAGCAAGGGAAAACTACAAGGCTTCTTCAAACAGTAGCTGAGCTGTTAGCATCCTGGAGAGATTTCTATGGATTTTATCATAGAATTCCCCAAAAGCACAGGAAACACGGTGATTTGAGTGGTGACTGATTTATTCTCCAAGCAAGTGCATTTTATCCCTTGTCAAAATCACTTCTACCGGGGGCCTGGCAAAACTGTTCCTGCATCACATCTACTGCCTACATGGAGCACCCCAGAGCATTATCTCAGATAGAGGGGTACAATTCACATGCAAGTTTTGGCGAGCCTTCCTGGACTTATTGGGGAGCGACCAAGGACTTAGTTCTAGTCATCACCCCCAAACAAATGGGGGTATGTGTGAAGGTAAAAACTCAGTACTGGAACAATACCTTAGATGCTTTATTAATTATCAACAATATAATTGGACTGCCTGCCTGCTGATTGCAGATGTGGCCTACAATACTTCTGTACATAGTAGTACTGGTTTTACCCCTTTTTGAGTGGCTACTTGGCAAGACTTCAAACCTATGCCCCTCTGCATCCAGGAATTTATCAATTTTGGTCTTAGATGGGGTTGCACTACCCCATATAGACCTGGTCCTCCTGGACTGATAGTTCCTGCTCAAAGAGCTGGTGGCAGCTGTGGCCAAGAGGGCCTTTGCTCAGCTTACTAATTACGCCCTTTCCTGGATAGGGAGGACCTCCACTCGATCACCAATCACTCATGCCCTGGACTACTGCAACATGCTCTACATGTGGCTACCCCATGGAAGTTTCAGCTGTGGCCATGCAGCCAATTTTAGGTACCCAAAGAAGGGTACCTGTGTTCTGTGAGCTGCATTGGGTGCCAGTTTGTTTCCAGGTCCAATTCAAGATGTTGGTTGTGACCTACAAAGCCCTACATTGACATTGGCCTAGCCTACCAATGAAACTGCCTTTGTCCAATTACACCAGCCGATCCCACTTGGTCAGGCAGGGAAGGTATATTGCAGGCTCTGTCAGTTAAAGAACCCCCACTGGCGGTGTCTAGGAAGGGGGCCTTCTCTGCTGTTGCTCCCACCCTGTGGAATATTCTTCCCCCAGAGGTGAGGCAGCCCCCAACTCTCTTGGCTTTCCAAAAAGGAGCTTAGACATGGCTCTGTGGCCTCGCAGGGGGAGCCCTGGGGAATAGTCACTGGTGGGGCTGGTTAATCCTCCCTTCACCTTCCAACTAATTTTAATCTCTTGCCTCCCCTTAATTTTTTTTTAAGTTTTGTATACACTCTTTGAGGGAGACAGGCAGTTCAGAAATGTGATAAATACGAGATACGGTAAACAGAACTATTCCGCCTGAATTTCTTGCCTGAATTTTGGGCCAGCTTTGCTGGCTGTTTCTTCCTGGCTCAGTCCCAAACATCTCCCGCTGCATCTGCAGCCAAAGCTTTGGGCGGCTGGACTTTCCACGGGGCGCCAGTATGTTGCCCACCCCAACACCCTCCGGGGCTTCCCCTGGGCTATGCCCAGCGGCCTCCTCCCACGCACCCACTCGGGGGGGGGGGGAAGAGGCAGTAGCAACGTCTAAGCTCCCCCACCCGATCGCCCCCCTTCAGTCCAAGGGGAGGCTGCGGGAGAGCCGAAGGGCCCCCAGGCTGGAGGGAAACGGCCCAGTCTGAGGGAGGGGAGCAGGGACCCCCATGAAGTCGGGGCGGGGGCACTCGCCCAGCGGAGATCCCCCTGACAGCCCCCTCTGGCTCCCCACCTGTCGGCGGGGCTTTTCGGGGCCCCTGCTCGCCCGTCGGTCTCTGCCCCGGGCAGGGCTCCACGCGAAGGACCCGTCGGGTCGCTCGGCGAAGCGCTCTTCCTTCCGCCTCGGCGCCTTTCAGCCTCCCGGGCAGCTGGCTGGCGGAGTGGGAGGGCCGGCCAACGCCGCTCGTGACCGCCCCCACGTCGGACCGGCCCCTCGGGGGAGACCGCGGGTTCAGGCTCGGGGCCTCCCCGGGGCAGGGCTGACCGCCGCCGGCCTCGCTCACGCCCGCCTCCCCCCGAGGCCGGCCGCGGACCCCTTCCGCCCCTACCTGGCCGGAGACGGGGCTCCGCAGGGCCCGCCCAGCGCCGGAGGAGGCTCCGCCCGAGCCTGCTTTGGCGGCCGCCCAGCCCGCGGAGTCGGCCGGGGCGGAAGCAGGAAGCGCGGCTGCGGAACTGCATTTCCCGGCGTGCCGCGCGCCACCACCCACTTCCGTCGGGCCTGCGGAGGCGCTCTGGTTCGGGCGGCAGCGGCGGCGGCGGCGGCGGGATGGAGGAGAGCGAGTGGCGCAGCGCCAACTTCCGGCAGAAGCTGGTCAGCCAGATGTGAGTGGCGGGGCGAGGAGCCCCGCGGGGGCGGCGGGCGGGGGGGCCTCGGCCTCGCCTGCGGAGCTGCTCGGCGGGGGGCCCCCGTGGCCCGACATCTGCGCCAAAGGAAGGGCTGCCCGGGCGGGCTCGGGGCGCGGAGAAGGCGCCAGCGGCTGTCCGGCCTGAGGCCGAAGCTGGGCGCTGGGCAAGCCCCCCGCGGGAGGCCGGAGTAGCCCCTCCGTCCCCGGAGGCGGGCGGAAGCTCTGCCCCGTCCGAGGGACGGCCAGGCCTGGTGCCGCCCGCGACGCAGCTGCCTGCTGGGCCCGGCTGGGCGCAGAGCCCCCGCCCTCGGTTGGGGGAGCCCGGCAGGGACGGCCGCCCCCTCCCCTCCCCCAGTGCTGCTCCTGGCGCCCCCCCCGCCTCGTCTGTAGGGAGGGGCCCGGCCAGGTGGGCCGCCTCGCCTTGGGTGAGCTTTGGCCTGCAGGGATACGTGAAAAGGTCACCCCTCCCTCAAATTCAAATGAAGGGCTGTTGCGAATTCTTGCTAGAAAATAACGTTTTAGAACAGGGCATAGAATCTCTTTTGATCTCATGGTAACCCAAAGATTTATTCATACCTCTTCTGTACAAACACTGTGGGATCTGTATCTACCATAACAAATTATTTTACAATTTAGTAAAATTAAACTTCTCTAGCCATTTATTCCTTAGATATATGTAAAGCTTTTGATTCCCTGGAAATACTGTTTTTAAAACCAATATTAAATTTTGGGACCAGTTTTCTTAAGATGATTGAACATATTTATAGACTAAACTCAGATATGACTCAACAGCTATGATTCATATCCCATTACTCTTTTTTAAGTGGTTCCAAGCAAATGCCTCTTTTATCGCCTTTATTAGTTAACCTAGCCATACAAGCATTGTAATAGTACTCCAATCAGATTTGTGGGGTGGAAATGGGAGATAAGATGTATGTTTTAAATTTAGTTGCAGATGATATAATTTTAACTCTCAAATGCTTATTCAGCTAGCAATACTAAGAAGGAGTTAGATGTGTCAGGACTCCAGTTAATTTTTATAAATCACATTTTATATTTTTCATATTCCCCCTCAAAACACAACTCACCATCTCTCAGTTTCTAGCCTGATGCCTTCATTATGACACCAAAGCGAGCTATCAATATTTATATCAGGGTGATTGGGTTAACCTGCTCAATTTCAATTAAGTCAGCCAGCAGTGTAAACATATCTCTAAGAAGCTTTCTGATTTACTCTACCCAAAGAGCAGGAATAGCTTCAATACCTGTGACACGCAGCTGTTTTCTACTTGGGATCCTAGAAAGCTAAAGTCAAAATCTTATTCAAGATTTTGTCATTGGCAAACATTTTCTGGGCTTACAATTGATCTTCCGACTTTAACTTTCTCTGCACTTAATACCTGGAGATGGATTTACTGGATCAGCTTCAAAGCCTTTAGTTAGCATTGCAAGATTTTTAGTATGTTAGCCCCTATTCCTTTCCTGGCTTTGGTTTTGTGAGAGAGGGGGATGCAGCTAATGGTGAAGCATATTTCTTGGCTCTGGTTGATATTCTTAGAGCCAAATCAATTGCAGCAACAACTTTACAGTGGAAAGACCTTTAATTCCCCAGATTAATGACATCTCCCTTCAATGCACAATTTCATGACACCACCATCCTAAACTAGAGATGGTCTTATCAAGTGGATTGATTGTTCTTCAAGTAGGCAGTCCTGAAGGTGCCTCAGCCAGATAGGACCACAGGTAAAACCAGCACTTTAAAATTATATCTGCAAACCTCTTGGCAACCGATGTGGACCTTGTAGCACAGGGGAATGTGTGCCTGAGGAGTCTAGGGCCAAAAGCACGTGTCTTGTACCAGCTTCAGTTTCCAGTCTTTAAAGGCAGTTCCATCCAGCGTACATTGGACGAACTGAGCACCAATGAGAATGCGAGTTCCTATTGCCACACTCTCCCGCTCCAGGTCAGGCTGCAACTGGATCTCCCAAAGGTCCTTCTTGCCATGACCTACTTGTCTGTCCAGGACAGCCATGGCTCCATGGACAGGCTCTCTTTCAGGCATGATGCTGACCATTTCAGAAGCAATACTAGAGCTGGCAGAAGCTCTCCCTGAATAAACAATTGCTCTGTCTTGGTTGGGTTCAACATAAACCTGTTTCTTCCCATCCCACCATGAGGCCTTCCAGAAGCTGTGTATGAATCAATCAGGGTGTCTACATTGGAGGCATTTAGTTTAATTTAATTTTTTGCTCGGTTTGAATATCCATTCGATATTCCTATAATGCCTGTTAGCAAAGTTCTCAGGGCAATTTGTGGTTTTTCACCTCTCATGAAAAGCTTCATAAAAAGAATCAAACTAGAGCTGGAAGGACCTTGGAGGTCTTCTAGTCCAACCCCCTGCTCAAGCAGGAGAACCTATACCATCTCAGAGAGGTGATTGTCTAGTCTTTTCTTAAAAACCTCCAGTGATGAAGCACCCACAACGTCTGAAGGCAAGCTGTTCCACTAGTTAATTGTCCTCACTGTTAGGAACTTTCTCCTTAATTCCAGGTTGCTTCTCTCCTTGATTAGTTTCCAACCATTGTTTCTTGTCCTGCCCTCTGGTGCTTTGGAAAATAAATTGACCCCCCTCTTCTTTGTGACACCCTCTCAAATACTGGAATACTGCTATCATGTCACCCCTAGTCCTTCTTTTCTCTAGGCTAGCCACACCCAATTCCTGCAACCATTCTTCATATGTTTTTGTCTCCAGGCCCTTAATCATCTCAGTTGCTCTTCTTTTTACTTTTTCCAAAGTCTCGATGACTTTTTTGTAATGTGACCAAAACTGAATGCAGTATTCTAGGTGTGGCCTTACTAAGGCTTTATAAAGCAGTACTAACACTTCATGTGATTTTGATTCTTCGTCTCTGTTCATACAACCAAGGATTGTGTTAGATTTTTTTGGCTGCTGTCGCACACTAATTCATGTTTAAGTGATCATCCACTAGGACTCCAAGGTCCCTCTCACAGTTATTGTTTTTGAGCCAAGTTCCGCCTAATCTGTACTATTATCTTTGGTTTTTCCTGCCTTGCTTTTCTCCACATTAAAGTTCATTTTATTGGATAGTCTGTCAAGATCCTTTGGGATCCTGAGCTTGTCTTCTGGGATATTGGCTATTCCTGCCAGCTTAGTATCATCTGCAAATTTGATGAGTTCCCCTTCTGTTCCTTCATCTAAGTCATTGATGAAGATATTGAAGAGTACTGGGCCTAAGATGGAACCTTGTGGTACCCCACTACTTACTTCCCTCCAAATAGAATGGAATGGAATGGAATGGAATGGAATGGAATAGAATAGAATAGAATAGAATAGAATAGAATAGAATAGGCCTTGGAGGTCTTCTAGTCCAGCCCCCTGCTCAAGCAGGAGAATCTACACTGTCTCAGACAGGTAAATGTCCACTCTCCTCTTAAAAATCTCCAGTGATGGAGTGCACACGATTTCTGGGGGTAAGCTGTTCCACTGGTTGATTGTCCTCACTGTCAGGAAGTTTCTCCTTAGTTCCAGGTTGCTTCTCTCTTTGATCAGTTTCCAACCATTGTTTCTCATTCTCACCTCCGGTGCTTTGGTGAACAACCTGGTCCCCTCTGCCCTGTGGCAGCCCCTCAGAAACTGGAACACTGCTATCATGTCTCCCCTATTTCTTCTTTTCTTTTGACTAGCCCACGGGTCGGCAACCCGCGGCTCCGGAGCCGCATGCGGCTCTTTGAGCCACCTCCTGCGGCTCTGGAGCCTCCTCCGCCATTTTCAGAGAGAGACAGAGACAGAGAGGCACTTCCGCTTCTGTTCTCTCTCTCTCTCTCTCTCTCTCTCTCTCTCTCTCTCTCTC